CACATGGTTATGGTTAGTAAAAAGTATACCCTCTTTCCGATCGCTTTGTATGATAGTACTCCACATGTGTAGCCTAGTCCCGTACTCGCGCGGATTCCGGGTAAAACCGTATAAAAACTGGGTCCTTATTATTGCACATGCCACTGGCTAGGTTGGGTCGTCATGCCCGACCGGGCCGTTTCAAAGACCCGTTTTCTCCGTCAACGAAATGAAACGCGGGTCAAGATGGCACGAAACACGATCGATCGTGATGTCCCAATCATCTGACATGCATTCCCCGACCCCGACCCGCCTCGCATCGCACGTTGACCGCTCGCCCTCCGCTGTATATATGCACCCCGGCCCAACCCTGCCGCTAATCGATTGACACTTTCAGCTACTTGCACTTGCACTAGCCGTCAAAAGATCCCAGCGCTGATCGGCCTCCGTCGTGCGTGCCTCGCCCCGAGCTCGCGCCAGCAGCTACCCCGCGCCGGCGTCGTGATGATCTGGAAGCGGAAGAGCTCCGGGCGAGGCGGCAGCTGCAGTGGCAGGGACGAGATGCGGGAGCGGCTGATCCCCGCCGTGGGCGGCGGCGGCTGCGCGGCGGGGTGCGTGCCGCCGGGCTGCGTGGCGGTGCTGGTCGGCGGCGGCGACGAGCCGGAGCGGGTGGTGGTGGACGTGCGCGCGCTGGCGCAGCCCAGCGTGCGGGCGCTGCTGGAGGTGGCGCAGCGGGAGTTCGGGTTCGACCAGAAGGGCGTGCTCCGGATCCCCTGCGCCGCCGACGAGTTCCGCCGGGCCGTCGCCGCCGGAGGCCACCGGTGCAGACGGTAGGAAGTTAGAAAGCGATCGATCGCACGCCTGGTGGTGCTGGTGGTGAGTCGATCGATCGTGTACATACATGTGTACAGAGGTGCATGCATGGAGTTGTTCATACTTCATAACATGTTCAGTTCCTCATGCTTAACATAGCGTAGAACAGGATGTATACATGCTGAGTTTGCAGTTGTTGAATTTTGAGAAGAGGTCCAGTTTTGGTTTTGAAAAGATGCAAGTGCTGCTGCTGTCCATTTTGGTTGGGGTCGTATTTGGCTTATAATCCACGATATGCCAATGATAATAATAAGTTAAGTCATGGCTGCAAGTTGGGGAGTAGTTTATACAAATAATAAAAGCTGGTCAATTAACCCCGATCCGTTGCGTGATTTTATTTGGCTTGAGCTTGTTTGAAACGCTTTTGATCGATTTCCTTCGGGCTGCATCGTTGCTCAACCATTTTTTTGGAACGAAATAAAGCTGACTAACTCTTTCACTCCCATGGTTTATGTGCCGTGCGTCCAACAAGCCATTGTGAATTTGTGCATCATTTCTATCTCTGCGGAGGTAGATTTTAAAGACTTTATCTCTAAATTTCATTCCAAAGGATATCCAATCAAGATATGCACAAGTTTCTGGCTACCTTGTCGGTGTTTGGCGTGCGCCGCCCATGCCAGCGACTAGGGTGCCCTCCTGGCTGCTGGCGCTTGGCGGGACTAGCGGCGGCCTGTGGCCGAGTTGCGGTTGCACGCTTGTTGAGTGTACTAGCTGTAGGACCGGTGAATCTACTATAGCACTATGCGTCTGCATCCATAAGACATGTCCGAAATTGCTCCGCACGTACAATTGGGAACAACAAAACTAGACAGTCGACGCTAGAGCTAGGACTTGGGCCACCATGCTCGCTCAATTCAACCATCTCGTGTTTCATGTCGCTTCAGACCATGCATGCCCATGGTCCGTCTTTTGTGCCATGTCAGCCCAAGTACGGTCTTCGGTGATACTAGTTTTCTTGGGGCGCCCATCCACTTGAGAATCGGTAGTGTGCTTTAGGTTATTCATTAGAGGAGGTTACTATGCACTAGAAATGTCTAGGTTTACCAGCATTTTCCTTCCCAAAATTAACAAATGACTAGTTTTCTTTGGTGACAATTGTTATACTAGGCGTATAGTATATATGGAGTAGGGTAGAAGACAAGCACCAATGGATGATGAGCAATTTTCGTACCGTGCTGCTGTTATGTACCAGTAAGCACCAATGGCCTGATTCCAACGTGAGCGTGGGCGTGAGACAGTGACACTGGATTAATGCATGTAACGCGCACCACGCTGCTGCAGTGTGAGCGCGGGACCCGTTCAAAAAAACCACGAGGCCATTACTACTGGTTGGATCGATCCAATTGGGGTCCCTTGAGAGTGGCCACAAGTACTGTCAGCTACATCAGCGTTGATTCTGAGCATGCAGCGGCCATTAGGCAATCGTGCGGATGGCTCTCCAGGGCCCCCCACCCAACACGTTTATGCGCGCGTTGAACTAAGTACGTCTCTGTCACTCCTGAATTGATACGGAGGTCGGAGTGAGTAGTACAGTAATCACCGTTCCCTAAATAATTTTCGTTGCCTCACACGAATGTGCCACAACTGTTAGATCTCTCAGCCGTGTTTCATAGCCTATAGGAGGTAGGTCTAGCTTACGCATCAGAGGCGTGAGTGAGTGGGTAGCGTACGTGTGGTGTAGTTGCGTGAGTTCAGATACTATGAAAAGGTTGAGGCAATAAAAAAAAGTTTAGCGAGGAAGATGAGATGAGGTATAGGGTACGGACTACTTACGTATCTGAGCCAGCCGGCCAGGGCCAGGGAAAAATCGGTATAGATCCAGCAGCGACGACACGATGGCTACTTCCCCGGTTGATTGCCGTGGTAAAACAACCATTATTTATTCACAAGCCGAACGAACGAATGATTGATCATATTGGCGCGCCAACGTCTATACGAGAATCGCACGATGAGTGGACGGGCATGCTCGGTCAGTCGGTCTGGGTCGCGCCACGAGCGTTGACTGACAAACAGCAATGGCCGGGATTTTGGGTGTCCACACCTTGTCCTGCCACGCATGTAGTACAAGTGTTTTGGCTTACCTAATTGTCAACCCACGAATGTATGCATAGTCACGGAGAATGACATCACTGGAGAACATTACTACTACTACTACTAGTACCCTTTCTCTCTGCATTCTTTTTGGAAAGACGTATATATTTTTTTGGCACGAGCTTATTACATACAGTACGTGCCGACCAGCGGCGAGTGGTGCTACAACACCTGACATGTCCGGATGTCCCATCCAAATGTTTCGGATAGAGCCAAATCTCAGTGACGACAAACTTGTTATTCGGCCTGTTCGTGGGTCAGTTTTATGGGCTGATAAACTCGGCTGGTGCTAATTTATTGTGAGAGAGAAAATATTATTGGCTGACTAATAAGTCTGAAACCAACAAGCGAACATGCTGATCGTTAAGAATGCGAGAGCCTCGTGTGATTCCACTTCCACCTGGGAAGAGAGATTTTTTGCCAAAAAAAAAAAAACGATGGCTGCCAGCGACGAGGCACACGCTTCCCTGGGGAAATGTTCAAACAAATTGCGAATTTAGGCCTACATAAAGCTTTCGCGCGGACGGACTTGTTTCTCAGGAGGCCGAACGCATTGTGGTTTCTTAAAACCGAATGACACTCACAGAAAAGGAACAAGACTATGGTATACAAACGTTGCAGTTAGTCCTCTTCGATCACTGACAAATTACATCATCATTCGGTAAAATCTTCTGAGACATCTTCCAGATGATGGAACCCAGATATATATGCATCTCTTAAGCGAACTAGCTGGTTTAGTGTGTACCCAAACTAGCTGGGTTGGTGGATGCTTCCATCAGGAATACTCCCAAATAAGGCTTCCAGTGCTTGACTTTACGGGCTCACTCGGATTTAATATGTCCCTTCGGGACTCTTCGAGCCTGATCCGAACGGATCATTTTTCAGTGGGCAAGTTCGTTCCAGTCATTGCAATGACAAATTTCAATCGAGGCCTTGTTTAGTTGCTCCTAACTCCCAACTTTGGCACTATTCAAAAAAAAAGATTCTCCGTCACATCAAACTTGTGGTACATGTATGGAGTACTAAATGTAGACGAAATTAAAAACTAATTGCACAGTTAGGTTGTATTTTGTGAGACGGATGTTTTGAGCATAATTAGTCAACGATTAGACAATTATTACCAAATACAAACGAAATGCTAAAGTGGCGCACAGTGAATCCGGCGGCGCCGAATTCGGCAACTAAACAAGGCCTGAAAGTAGATGGTTTTATCTACTGCCTTCCCTTTGGATGGAAGGAAGGAAACAGATTCAGACGTCACTCATCTTGCCAATCCCAGGCCAAGTGTTCTTACTGACGAAAAAGACACGAGTTATCCCTGAACCTGACAAATCGTTGCTGATGAAAACAAAGCAGAGAAGCAACTTTCGATGGCTGATGACTGAATGGTTGAAACGAGCAGATGATTCGAGGATTTGGGTTGGTCTTATTCTTCCCCCACAAAAACTCTGAGAAGCTGGTAACAGCTTTCTTCGAGGCTTCGGTTCACATAGAGTTGGGTGACGGTCGGAAAGGGTTCTTTTTCGGACGGACAAAAATGGATTACTTTTATTCTCGAACAAATCAGAATAAAACCAGCGCCTGTATGGACTAGTTTTGTAGGGATTTCATGTGCGCTGAATATTGCACAAAAGCTGAAGTATTATGAAACAAAGATGTTGCAATTACTCTTATTCTCTGTAGCCTTTATTACAACATGGTACAGCGACAGAACTAACTATACAAAGTTGATTTACATCATTTGCAAAGAAGTCTTCTGTGTCGTTGAATTCAAAATAGTTGCGGAGCTCACAAAGAATGACAGGATATCTCTTCAGAGAAAATGCAGGTCTGATGTATATACAGATTAGCTGAACTAGCAGATGCTGCTACCATACCAGGATGTGATTGGATAAATCCGGAATGAATGGAGAAGTGCCCAAGTTCAGGATGGAACTTGTAAGAAAGAAATTTTAAGATAGTGAATGTTTGGAGATGTTAGCAGTTTAAGAATGTCAACTGAGAGTGATCTGGCAGGACAAAGTCATCAGGTAGAAATAATTAGGGCTTAGCCAACATCATCTAGAAGGTCCTTCAATCTTCTGCCTCAACTGTTCGTAGTTTTGTAGCTCCTCCAGAGATAGTGATGGTGCGATATCTCCTAACACCTGCGTAGTAACAAAACACCTTATTTCCCAGCATGCAACCACACAAATATTACTGTGCTTTCTCAAAATGATTTGGAGTTTTACTGTAATAAAATCATCGATCTCAACAATGACATCTTCGGCACTGGCATCATTACTTCTTGAAGTATCGATTTCAAATGTTTTAACCTAAAAAATACCACATGTAAGATCAACAGAGCAAAGCTAAGAAAAGGCCAACATGGCATAGCAAGGTAGCAGAAATACTCACTGATCGCTTTGCTGCGTGAAACCATGCATCCGCACACAGTGCATAAATATCAGCACCAGTAAAGTTAGGTGGACAACGCTGAGCAACTGACAAAAGAGAAACATTCCTGTGGAGCTTATACTTGCGCGTCTGTGCTTTAAGGATCCTGTATAGAAAGTACAATGAGATCACAGTTGTGATGAATTTGAAATTAGCAAATTGAAAAGAACAATAACGACCTTTCCCTGTATGATGCATCAGCATTTACACCGACATAAAGAAGCTTGTCAAACCGACCAGGGCGAAGAAGGGCAGAATCAAGAAGGTCAGGCCTATTGGTAGCCCCAATAATGAAAAGGTCCTACAAACAATTTTGCAAAAAGAAGTCCCTTCATGTCAAGCGTCCCAGAAATGGCGATTAAAAACAAGTACGGCATGGAGGAGGGAAAAACCTGGCTGTTATCACTCAACCCATCAATCTCCACAAGTAACTAGTAGACACAAAAATGGGGCAAGTGAGAAGAGACTGGCCCAGTAATTTAACAGAAGACTTGTGAGGAAAAGTTGTGACACCGCCTCAGGGACGAAGTTAATGATACCTGGGAAACAACCCTGTCCATAACACCGCCAGAATCTGCTGAGGATCCTCGTGCAGGAGCGAGGGAATCAAGCTCATCAAAGAAAATGACACATGGGCGTGCAGATCTAGCCTGAAATTGACAGTGGAAAACTGAAAAAAATTAAAATATATGCATGTTTGGGACAATTACATGGATGTGTAAATTCCGCACCTTTTCAAAAATATCCCGAACATTCTTCTCTGATTCTCCAACATACATGTTTATCAGTTCTGGACCTTTCACGCTAAGAAAGTTCAATGAGCATTCAGTTGCTACTGCTTTCGCGAGTAAGGTCTAAAAAGTCCAAGGGACAATCATTTTAGTGACATCATATCATGTTTCTTTTGGATGCACATGTTATTGGTAACTAAACAAAAATACAATTCCATTCGTGTGAAACCTTTTCAAACCTACCTTCCCTGTTCCTGGAGGTCCATATAGCAGGACACCTGATCGCTTGCGCAATTTAGAAGAAAACAGGTGCTTGTACATCAGAGGCAACTGAAATATCAAGTAAAAGAAAAGGTCAATATCCTGCAAAGGCCAAAACTGACGAGCCAGCTTCTAGTGCTGAAACTACTGTAGGCAAAAATAAAATTGTTTTTCCCATAAAAGCGAGTAATATTGTTGTTGTCGATATTTACAGCTGAATCAAGTCCAATTTACCTGAATAGTATCTAGAATAACCTTTTTCACTTCCTCTAGCCCACCAACATCCTCCCATTTGACATTGGGAACCTAAAAAACAAATTGTTCTCAGAGGCAAGCTAAAATCGCTATATACAACTCATGGCCTATCAGCTGATGGTCCTGAAGGCTATAATTAAATGTTTACTTTGGGTGTGCCCAGCGCAGCACGATTCCTTTTCTTGGCTCGTTCCAAGGAAGACATAATATCTTCTTTGCAGAAATGTTTTTCCTCATTTTGTGTGGCAGAAGAGCTTTCTGGAAGGATCTCCTCATGCTTACTAATTCCTTTGCTATCTTTCCCTGATGCAATTTTATGCGCAAAAGATACACCAGCATCTGCAACCAGTGCAAGTATGTCCCTGGGCATGAAACCTGACGTTTGCGCTGCTAAATCTTTTACAAACTTGTCACCAATACTCTGAAAAGTGAAAACACATAAGTGGGAGGTGCACTATAAGACGGTAAAAAAGTTTTGGGCCAAAGAATGACCAAAAGGCACCTCATCAGCAACTTTAGGAATGCCTTGAAGTGTCTCAGATATCAGTTTGTTTCTCTGTTCTTCATCCATAGTCTTCATGTCGATCTCATGGCGGAAGCATCTTCTAATTGACTGTTGCATTCCTTCAGAACTGTCTGCAGTTGCAACTAGTATAATTTGAAGAGAGCTTACACATTCAGGCTCCACGAGGTACTGCAAAAAAGGCGAGTTAATAATAAGAAATTTGATATATAGAAGGTCTTATATCATTAGATCTCATTGAAGTAAGGGAGTCCAAACTTACTGAGCTCCCATTTACATCTTTTCCTGGCAGCGAATCCTTAGCAACCCAACATTGTCCAGTGTACTGCTTAATGACAGATTCAATGTTCGATGCAACCCCAGATTGCTCAGACTGTGGACCTTCGTTGGAGGATGCATTCCCAATTGCATCAAAGTGGCGAAGAAGTATTATACAAGGAGAATACCTTCACAAAGAAAGTTATTCAACAAAGTCAAAGATGTAAACAACATCACCTGGAGAGTGGCTAAATCCGTAAATGCAATTGTTCCCATAAGAAAACGAAATGAAGAGAATGATATTTTCATAACTACAGAAATAAGTTTAAACGGTAGAGACTAAGAAGCGGAAAGACAGAAAAAGATGAGTACTTCTGAGCTTCTTTGAAGGCAGTTGCAAGTGCAGCAGGTGCCCCACTTTCTGATGACATCATTAGATCATGACAGCTACACTCGACCACATGCAGACCAAGATGGTTAGCAACATGCCTAAGCACTGTGCGCTTTCCACATCCTACAAAGCGGCCATTTTTGGGACTCGAGTTCAGTTGAAGGTTGAGTCGTATGGGAATACAAATTTCATGAAACTATAGTTGAAGTGCACTAACCTGACGGGCCATATAAAAAAGTGGAAAACTTGATTTTTGGTAAAATATCCGAAGGGCACAATGCTGGCGCAATGATAGATGCTAAATGCTCCACTATTTCACCGTGCAAAGGTACTGAATTACCAGAAGCAGCAAAGAAGGAATAAGGGGGATTGCAGCAGAAGCAGCTCCACCAAGCACAAGGGCTGTTTCATTGCAATTAACACGAAGTATAGGTTCATCTGATGGTTCCATGCTAGTCACCTAACAATTTAATTAAAATATCAATAAACAAGCAACAATCCTATAAAATATTTACAAATATGAGCAAATGCCGTTACATTTAAGCTACAAGTTCAATTGCCTGTGAAGAATTTATGGACTAAAGTAATTTTAAGTATGAAACATAGGTATACCTTAAAGTACATCATATTACGCGGATGCAGTTTATTATCCTGCTTATTGCATGCCAGGCAGCAGCTTGCGCCACAATTCCAACTGTTTTGTATACAAAAAACATCTCCTCTTGCTAGGAACCTATCGAACTTAAAGTACTCGTTCAAAGCTTGATCTACCATGTCTTGGTAGTCACTTCCTCCAAAGGATGAATTTATCTTTAAAGAAGCAAGCACACCACAATCAGGAATCCTCACAACAGAAACTCGTAAATGCAACGCATATTTAGGCACTTCGAGGGCATGGAAGAAGGTCTAAGTGAAGAGAAAGATCACTTCCAGCACTGGCAGTTGCATCAGTCTCTTCAGCTTGAGAACAGAACTTGAAAGGCTGTCCTCCTCTTTGAATAAGAAGCTTGAGGCAAGAAACATGCAACCCCAAGTTGAATGCCAAAAGTGGGCTGACATAAGCAACATCTTCATCCATAGATGCAAAACCAGTAGCAGGGAACGTGCGACAAGGTAAGAAGCCCATTGCACGATCAGAAGGATAGGCAGAGACAACTTTCTCAGTATGTTCTGAGCGGGACTCGTCAAGGCACGGGTTATCAAACAATACTGCTTTGACAATCCTCCCAACATTATTGTCAGTATTCTTGACAAGCACCTGCAAATCAGTAGTTGCATATTATATTCACTAAAATGAACAGAACAGAACAGAATCCTACACACTAACCGTGTACCATCTAAGCTCGAAAAGTTGCACCTGGGTTATGTCATAGATGAACTTGCTAAATCACTTATCAGAATTCAGATAAACGACCACAATGGTTGATTTTTTTTTCAGCTGCAATTCTCTATAATATATTTGCCCACTGCACCTATTCCCAGTCTGGGAACAGAAATCACCAATTCTCATCTAATTCATCACCAAAAGCACAAGCAGAGTTTCCTACGTGGTACCAATTTAACATTAAAGCTCAAAAGGCTGCACAGAGATGGCATCAGTTCAAAACTAGTAGACCACTGCACAAAAGTGCATGGCGTCCTGATCAAAATACAGATGCACGCCCGGAATGGACACTTTTTGTAGCAGCAGCTTGTTCATTATCGTTATCGAGATCTCATCATTGTCAGTCACTAGAGCTAATTTTCACAATCGCGTAGTCTATCACCAATCCCATCAAATTCGTGTTCAAAATTAAGCAAGGACAGCCTTCTAGTTCTACAAAACGATCAAACTTAATCGAGACCCAAGTTCCTCCTGACAGCACCAAGCAGAGTTCCCCCAACGAAGTCCCTAACCGATCGAATTTCCCAGCACGACGCTCCAATTCGCATCAAATGATTGGAACTAGAGGACTCACCGGCGTGCCGGTGACGACCGCGAGCCGTCGGAGCGCGGAGGCAGGGAGGGCGACGAAGAACGCGAGCTCCCCGAACTCGGCGCCAGCACCGGCGCCGGAGGGGAAGCGGAGGACGCCAGCCCTAAGGCGCACCGGCTCCTGCGGCGGTGGCGGCGGGCGGTCCCCCGGGAGCGAGTCCAGGAGCGCCTGCGTGGAGGCGAGCACCAGCGGCTTCCTCCGCTGCCGCATCTCCACCATGGCTGCTGCCGCCGGCGCCACCGTGACGGGAGCCCGGTCGCCCGGAGATTGGAGAGACCACTTGACTCGAGTCCTGAACAAACAGACGATAGGAAGGTCTGAACAACCCAAGAAGCACAGGCAGTTCAGAGTTCAGACTTCAGTTTTTTTTTTCTTTTTTTTCTTTTTTGGAAAGACAACTTCAGAAGATTTGGATGTGTTATTACCGTTGGATCGCAGTATTGGACAAGATTAGTAGTAAGATTGAATTAATTTGATGTAGATTTTTTCATCCATACAAGACATGTTTGGATGAAAAATAAACAAAAACGACATTACGATTAATTACCGTGAAAAAAATCTTGTTTAAACACTGGGTTGCCACTCGAGAGCGCTGGTCAGCCTAAAAAAAAAAAAAAAAGGAACAGCGCGTCGCTATGAAACGAGTACTCCCTCAGTCTGTAGAGAAAGTGCACTTCCAGATTGTGACTAAATCAGATTTTTTTTACTTTATATCTCCAAATAGATTTAATATAAAAATATATTTATTATCAATCTAATCATACTTATTTGATACTCCAAATATTATTTATTTTATATAGGTACATCTGTCTGACTAGCTACATACACTGCAGAGATGCAGAATAGTACGCCAATAGCCCAACACGGCTGTAGTATGAGTATGAACATGGGTCACAAGGTTCAGGAACTCAACTCTAGCTTTTTTGAAACGTATAGCTTTACTTGGAACAAAAAAGAAAAGGGTAAAGTCTAATTTAGAACCTTTAACTCTCGGCAAAGTCTAGATTTCAACTCTAAAACCGGATAACTTTCGCCCTCGAACTCTCGAAACCGTTCACTTTTCAACCCTGGGCCGATTGCGGGTGGTTTTGGCAGATGAACAGTAACTTTAGATATTTTCGGGAGACGTCGAAATTTTATATTATTTTTTGAGCATCTTAACGTCCTCAGATGAAAAAACTTAAAACTATAAAGTTGTAGATCTCTATAAAAAGTATTTCATTTAACTCCATACAAATAATATATTAGTGCTCTAATGCGGCAAGCGCTAGTAGGCGATTATTATGGTGCTGAAATTTTATATTATTTTTTCAAGCATCTTACTGTTCTCAAATGAAAAAAATTAAAACTATAAAGTTGTAGATCTCATCGAGGTCTACAATTTACATATAAAAATTATCTTCATCCGACATCGTATTAAAGGGTTTTTCTATTTTTTGAAATTTGAGTCTCGTCACGCCACAATATTGTTTTGTCGCGTGAGATCTACAACGTTAAGATGCTCAAAAAAATAATATAAAATTTTGACGCCTCTCGAAAATATCAAAAGTTATTGTTCATCCACCAAAACCGCCCAAAACCAGCCCAGGGTTGAAAAGTGAAAGGTTTCAAGAGTTCGAGAGCTAAAGTTATCCGGTTTTGAAGTTCGAGGTTGAAATCCGGACTTTGGTGAGAATTAAAGGTTGTAAATTGAACTTTACCCAAAAGAAAAATGAGATCAAAACAACTGTGAACTTTCTGCGGATAAGCAGCCTGTTCGGAAGGCCGTATCGTATCGTGGATTATTTACTGCTGGCTGGTTTGATGTGAGAGAAAAACACTGTCCCGGCTGAAAATTTACGATCGTTTACGAGCAGGCGAATAGGCTGAAGAATCCTGATGACTCAACACTAATGTACTCCACATCGCATAGTCGCATACAGTCAGAGATGAAGAAGCAACCTGACGCAAAAAGACTTGATCTACTAATGGCAAAACGAGCAAGAGAGATCTTCCCCTTTAAATTGAGAGCAACGTTTAGCGAGAGAGAGAGATGTTGACAGGAATATTGTGATCAAATTCCCTTCCCAAATGCAGTAAACGAGCAAGAGATCTGCCCCATTTAAACAAGTCCTCTGTAGTATATAGGCATGAATATTATTTTGCTCCTGAAGCATTCTGGTTGTAGAAGCGGATTGGTTTTGTTGCAGCATGCTACATTTTTTGTTTGGACTACTTATCACCCAAAGATGGTTGCATGTTGTGGGTTATCAGTGTATCCTAGATTATAAATTATTGATTCTACAAGATAGGTTATAAAGAAAATACATTTATGTGAAATTTTTGTGTAGCATGATCCATCCCTGCCACTTTCATACATACACATGTTATGTAAGAAAGATGCCTATGTTACCGTGTTTTAGAAACTAAGATATACTGCTGCTTAGTTCTTACTCTTGTGTGCAAAATTATGTAGCCATTGAAGTTCAAATGTTATGTAAAGATTGGCACTGAAATTACTTTTGGCAGTACATAAAAGAACTACTCCATAATTAGGAGGAAAGACAGTAGAGAAATAGACGGTTGCACAGAGCGTTTCAATCAGATGCTCTATTTGACATGGATCCTAGTTGATGATTTTCCATGAACATACTACTTATTTAAGTAATTAATAATCTTTACCAACGACTAGCACCGGAGAGACCAAAATCAAGCAGCGATGGGTTAGATCCTGAACTGAAATGGATCTATTTCAGTATTGAAAAATGGATGATGATGCACTGTTACTTCTGAAGATCTACTAGCTACATACACTGTAGTGATGCAGAATACGCCAATAGCCCAACACGGTTGTAGTATAAACATGGGCCACAAGGTTCAGGAACTCGGCTCTTGCTTTTTTCTTTCTTTCTTTTTGGAAACGAGTATAACTTTACTTGGAACCAAAAAAGAAGAAAAGGAGATCAAAACAACGGTGAGCTTTCTGCAAATCAAGTAGAAAGAATCGTGATGAGTCAACACTGATGTGATCTACATCGCAGATTCGCATACAGTCAGAGATTAAGAAGCAACCTGAAGCAAGCAAACTGTACTAAAAAGTCTTGATCTACTAATGGGAAAATGAGCAAGAGATCTGCCCCTTTAAATTGAGAGCAACGTTCAGCAAAAAAACAGGTGTTGACAGGAATATTGTGGTCGAATTCCCTTCACAAATGCAACACAGCTAAAAAAAGACTATCACTAGTACAGAAACAGGCTGTACTCTCGGTTGGGAAACCCCTTCAATCCCGGTTTCCCAACCGGGAGCACGAATCCGGGACCCGGTTTCACGCCCGGGACTAAAGGTCCACTTTTAGTCTCGGTTGGTAATACCAACCAGGGCTAAAGAGGCCTCCCAGCCTGGCCACGTGGGCCAGCCCTTTGGTCTCGATTGGTATTACCAATCGGGACTAAAGTTTTTTTTCTTTTTTTTGTTTCTATTTTCAATTGATGATTCGTTTTGGTTTTCGAATAGGTTTTCGAATACGTATTCTACGCTGCTAATAATATACGTATTCTACACGTTTATAATGTTCGAACATTTTGTACAAACTAAAGTAAGAAACTAACGTATATATTACATGCATATACATATATTGTACGTTATTTTATGTACATATAATATGTATATATATATATTACAAATAAAGCTTGCATTGTATATTCTATCATATTCTTGGGATAACAAATTCACTACATCTAGTTTGGCTTCCATATTTCGTTTATGTCATTGTAGAACTCGCCGGCGGGGTTTAAGACCTGGTCATTAAGAAATCCTGCTCTGGTCTCTTAAATTGCTTTCAGTTGGTCACATCGTATGACTTTTTCTTTTAACCATAGAGTCTTCAATAAAAGTTAAAGGTATATATATATGTGTGTTGGTCACGTGATTACTTATATATATGAGCAATAAAAGAAATTGTGAATATATGAATATATTTATATAACGTACTTTGAGGATCTCTTCAGGAGTTCTTTTTGCGTACGCATGATGAACTCGTAAACATAGTATCCGCAGTAGTTGGTCCCCCTGTTCTTGCCTCAGAACCCACTTTTACGAGAAAAAAGATCCGGTGAATTGAAAGCATGTATGGTGTTAATTGAATTATATGTATATAAATGTAGCTAGCACTTACTTTGTGTGCGATTACATCCAGTGGCGCTTTGCAATGTTTCATGTGGTGTTCCTCAATGAAACTTTTCCAAACACTGCGCCCAATAAAATAAAAAATTAATTTGACCTTTAATAATTGTTACAGTTAAGAGATCAGGGTATATATAGTTGCTAGAGAGACCAAATTACCCTTGGATAATATCTATCATGTCTTGATACTCTGTTTGCTCTTTTCTTAACAAGTCTAAGATGCTCAACCGACTATTGCCCATATCGATGACCATCAATATCCAGTGATTGTTGCATATATTTTTATACATAAATATGATCGATATTAACTAGAGTCAACATATATATATATATATAGCTTAGGTAGTAAGCAAATAATTGAACAAATGTCCATATGATCGACATTAATTATTTAACACTCACTTGAAATTGTAGGGGAAGAGTATGTCCTTGTTTTGTTGGTTCACTAAGAACATCATGAGATTTTTCTCGAGTTCAGCTTTCTATTGAGGCGGGGGATTATGGTGTTTCAATACGACATTTGGATCAACGAAACCAACATCATTATCATTTCTCTTTCTGAGTTCTGTCATCTCATATATGCATATATAAAAATATAGTGTGAGGATATATAATTTATATATATACATGTAGCTTTATATATATACACTTTAATAGTAGAAAATAATCACACTTACAGACAATAGCAGCTAATGAGACTTTTATCGAGAGTGTCTAGATGGCATAGTTGGTGTAATTCTAAAAACTCGACATATATAACGTCATCGCCACGGAAGTAATGTTGGTTTCTAACTCTGACAGAAACAAAGGTCTCTCCCCGTTCACACGCCGCCATGTACCACTTGTTTAGCAGGTACATTTGCGTACCCAGTTCATCTAAGGCCTCAGGGTTATATAGACTCTTTCCATGTTCAAATTTCTTCCAAGGATCCACTTTCGGAGCAGATAGTCCTTCAGCGAGCACTTGGACAAGGTCCAAACCAGTATCCTCGTAAAACCGAACCAGGTCCTCAAAATCGACGTCGAGTAAGTCTAAGTTTGAACCATATTCATTACG